AGTTCAAGAAAGGGTACATCTTGCGCTCACTGGTAATAGGGTAGGTATTAACTGTTAAGAAGTTCTGATTTTTGTTGGGGGATGGGGGTAGGGGGGCTCTCAGGAGTCATACTAGCAATTTTAGCGTGTGTCTTGCCCCTGGGTGAACACCCAACTGTTTGGGGCATTCACTCGCGTCTTACACTCACCAACAGTTTACGACGTTTTGTGCGTACCTAGCCCCGAGGCGCCCCAGAAAATGCCTTTCAAAACAATTGCTTCATTTGTTTGGCTACGGGAAATCCCATTGATTCATTCTTATGCATTTGCCAAGAAATATATCTGACCTACTTAAATATCCGTTATTCAATCTAATCTAAATATCATTACTCTATTTTATCCCTCCACAGATTTTGCATCATCTGTACGATCAGGACATTATACAAGAAGAAGCAATACTTGACTGGGCTTCTGAAAAGGAAGAAGCAGAGGAGTCAGATAAGGTTTTTGTCAAGCAATCAGAAAAATTTATCCAGGTACGTACTTACAGCACTTAAACCTTTGCAGGTAGATGACCTGCCTGTAGTGCCCAGGAACCTAGAAGTTTCATTGATCTACTTACCCTATCTTGTCATTCCATCCCAACCTCTTCGCACCCCCTGATCCCCAATGCTCAGGGAAAAAGATTAAGGAATTAGCAAACTTGTAAACAATGAAAAGGGAAGAAAAGCAAAGTTCGTCTTTTTAACTGGGGCGTATCTAGGTCTTAGGCTATGGGTTCGCGTGAACCCATACTCCTCTCCCTAAACCATGTATAACAATGTTATATTTTTTGAAAAGTATTTAAATATATGTGCGCGCACCCATGCTCAAAGACTCCTATGGTGCAATAATTATCGGGTGCACCTCTACGAGTAAAACTGCCGATTGAAATCCCACTTCGGACGGTCTTGTTTTCGGCACGAAGTATAGATATATATGTGAAAATCTCCAAAATTTTAAAAAGAATATAATTTTGAACTTATAATTTGAAAAGCGCAGTGGGTTCATGGTAAGTGACTAAAGTTAAACACGTCAAAAGTAAATTCTAAATCCACCTCTTCACAATATTGCACCCATCCTCTTGAAATCCTGGATCCGCCTCTTTTAAATATTGCCTGCTTTACCCGTCATACTTGAATCATGCATGCACATTATGAACTCTGGAAATATTTGCAGTGGCTCAAAGAAGCATCTGAAGAAGAGGATGAGGACTGACATAGTAGTAGAGACCGTGTATTTAAAGCTGCTCCAACTACCTGTAGCTACCTCACAGTTTGCCCTTGGATGAACATGCTACTCACCATTCAGAAACCTGCTACAGCTGAGAATCAAACCTTAATCCCTTTGTCCGTTCCATAACCTAATTGTGTCATTTATATACATTTTTCATCAGTTGTATAATCATTGACTTCGAGATAATTCATCTACAGTGGAACTGAATTCCATTTTAGTCTGTGGTCTCTTCTGCTGCAATTGGAGAGGCAAGTTTTGTTTCAATAGAATTTTTGATCTGAGGAAACACTTCACATGTCAACTGTATGTGGAAATGTTATATAGTGAAGGGTTACTGTTAGTTGAAGACATTGTTTCCTACTAGCTGATTGGCATTTCTATGCCATAAAACAACTCTTAGGCCTATACATTGATTTTCTCACTGAAACGGTAATACGGCTTGTATTGGAACTTGTGATACCTCTTTGAGTCTTGTTCTTGAGTATTTTATAAGAGCTTGTGTTATGTTGTTGCTGTTACATATTGTTTCCCTTTTCCGTTTTCTTTTCTGTTTATAGTTTCTTCATTTCTCTTTTTCTGAAATCTTCATTACCCTGCTAAACATTCCCTGGACTGTTAAAGTAGTTGAGTAGGAACAGCTTTTATTTATGTTGTTGGTGTTTTCCACTGACAGTGTCAATGTATTTTCACATAATCAGCGCAATTTATTCTACTGTTGAAGGTTTTTATCTTATTCAGGTTATTAATTTCAGTGGTATGTGTTGCTACTTTTAATTACCTTTAAAGAGGAATGATTTTGTAGAATATTTTACACTATCGATGCATAGAAGTTAAAGCATACTTTATTTATTGGTGTGGGTGTGTTGACAACAAAAACGAGTAGTTTACAAAAGCATCTAATTTGTATGATAAATCCGAGCCCTGCAAAGGAGAATGAATCTATTTTTTACATCCTGCACGGACAATTCAATGATCAAATTGTTAAAGTGCAAAGTGAAATGACACAAGAGCTTGAATCCATTGCTAAACAGGTTGAGTTTTCCTTACTTTTCTGTTAACTATTGTAAAAGAACATATTTCAGAAAGCATCAACTTCAGCTTTGAATGTAGATAGGATGAGGTCGTCACTTTGTATGCCGGTTTAGTTTACGTGCACCGTAGGTATAATAAAATACGTTACTGCCTTACTACAGAATGGCAATTTTTCATGTTTTAAGTATGTACATTATGCAATTTAATGCAAGGATTTTTAAATAATAAATCAGAGTCGAGGAGGCCCCATTGGTCCTGGACGCCCTTGTAAGCCCATTGGGCCTCTCCAACAACAGCAAAAGAAGTTAAGGCTGCACCAGTGTAAACAAAACAATTAGCAATATGATCCAAGAACAGGAAAAGGAAAAGAAATTAATCCATTTTCTAAAAACTGGCCATAAATGCCATTTAATAACTTGGCAACGAGTTTCAACACAAGTATTAAAATGGTTACACTTCCATCCTGCAAAAGCTGCTTAATCCAAGCAATGAGAGGATCAGATGATCTAAAATTGCTCTCGTTGCTTATGAGTATGAATAACGGTGCCTGCCTATCACTTCACCTCGTTCTAGAAATCTGATCTCGTTGGGTGGAGTGAGAGGAGAAAGAAGTAGAAAAACGCAAGTGAAATTAGATGAAAGAGAAAGCATGGTCAATGCCACAGTTTGTAGCTTGAATATGCTTACCAACAGGTTAGGACAGGGTAACAACCCCCACATGCGTTGCCACATCCAACCATTGTTGGCACTCCTGAGCCAGGCTTAGGCCTCAATTCAGGACTAGGTGCACGAGGAGGACCACCACCTCCCTGGCTAAGCTGACCTTCCGTACCTCCAACAATAGGTAACTCTCCACGACTCGGTGAAGGCCCTATACCTCCAAGTTCTCCTGTCATGGCTGCGACTTCATGCATTTCTCCACCTCCATGATGTCCTTCGACGCCAAGTTGAGTCCCTTTTCCTTCATTTGTAGTTGTCCACCGGAGGGTAGGTGGACGACCTCCACCCCCGAGTAGTCCTCCTGAGCCAAGTCGGGATGCCATGCCTCCACTTCCCAGTAGTCCTGCAGACCCGAGAGGACCCAATCCAGATATAAATCCTCCATGTATTCCTCCACCTCCTCTCCCTGCCATTTCGGTTTTTTCTCTATAGGGGAAAAGAGTAAAATCTGTTTGGTTTTATAGAAAGCCAATAGAGTTATAGTTTTCCATAAGTTACACTCACTCTGCTCACCTGGACTTAAAACTCTTGTCTGCCAATCTGTATTGCTACTTGTCAAAATGGTAATTACTGACCCCGTCTTCCTTTCTTTTACGTACAAAAATAGAGATGTCTGACAAAATTTCCTTGAAGTTTAGGTGACTAATTTCTTGGTTTACTATCACATGTATGTTTATTACTTGGAGATGTCAATCTGCTTTTTTCACTCCTCCTCACGGTAATATTATTTGGTACGATCAGCAAGTTTGTATTCATTAACCTATTTTTGTAAAAGAAATGACGAATCCGAGTAAAATATTAAGACCAAAAAATAGGACTAATAGGTGCTATTACTACCCTTTTTGTCTTTTACGTGATCTAAAGCATATCCAAGGACATCATGAACTGCGATTTTTAAGAACCAAAAGAAACTATGTTGTAATTTAATACGAAAGAGAGAAGAAACATCGTACTTTCACATACTTTTTCTTGCATAGACGTAATCAAGTTGCGTGTGATGCTCCCTGAACAAATTAGGGGTGGAAAGGGGCAATTCCCAGTTAGACTTGGAAGCAATTTGATGATTTATGCAGAACCCTAAACAAAGAAAGGTACTATTTGTTGCTAGGTACAGCGTTTTTTTTTTTTTTTTTTTTTTTTTTTTTTTTTTTTTTGTATATTTGTAATCTTACCTGTAAAAAGAGGTAAGGAATTTGCCCTACAGTTCACGACCAATGAGGTTAAAGGACTACTTGGAAACCGATATTCTCAACCAGGGGCAGAAAAAGAATGAAAAACAACATTAAGGACCAAATCATTACAATGGGAGACATTTAGGACCTTTTCGATAAAATACTCGTGATTTTTCTATTATAAATTATCACTGTACAGAAAGCCGATATGCCAAACAAACTTCCTTACACGATTCCAGCCAATCCAATAGCATCTTCTTCATCGATTTTGGATTCAAAGGCGGGAGTTACATTTCGAGGTTTTGCTGAAGAATAAGAGTCAGAATCACCAGTCAATGAGCAGCTTAAAAACTAATACTTGGTTGGTATGCACAGGATAGGAGAAAAACACAAAGCATTAGATTGAAGTGCACTCACTCGAAACATTTGTGATGACATTAACACTCTTTTGAGCGGCGAGAGCTTTTAATTTGTTTCCCGTAGCTAACAACAGGAAGCTCTTCATGTGCTGTCTCTGCTCCTTGGGACTAAGAGTCTTGGTCAACGCGTCTTCAAAGGCTTGAAGATCTTGGGATGTAATGCAAGGGAGAGAAAGTAAAATCTGCAGCCATTCAAATTTGTACGAGTTTTATCGAATAGCAGATGAAAGATATGCATGCTTTCAGGAAGGTAAACTTCATTATGCTTGCTATTGAAGATAGAGCATAAAAACTTCACAACTAAGAATGTAAGATATGCGCAACTCCAATACATCAACAGAAAAAGAGAAAAGATAAGATGCAATCTTAAGAATGTCAGCAAATATATTGTTTAATGCAAGAGTGAGGCCTAGTTGTCAATGAAGTGGGTCGAGAACTATGAAGTCTCAGGTACAAATCCCAGCGAAGGCAAAAACACTAGGTGATTACTTCTCATCACTCCAAGCCTTGGAGGATAGAGTTAGCCAGTACCTGTGCTGGTGGGGGTAGCACGCACCCCGTGGAAATAGTCGAGGTGGGGGCAATTTGGCCCGGACAGAAAGAATACATATATCTATTTAAACAGTGAATATTTTGTTGTTCTTAATATGCCAGGGGTGAAACTTGCATGGCAATTGCCACCTTTTTTACTAATGCCATTTATCATTATTTATATGAACCGTATCAAAATAATTTGTCATACCCAAAAGCTCTTGGCCTTTTAACAAGAGATAAGCATAACCGCTGGAATTCTATTTTAAGGACATCAGAAGAAAAAAGAATTGCAATGAACATAGGTGTCAAGTGCTACAGCTAAATCTGATGTTATAAGCAACTGAAAAGAGTGGGATCCGAATAACCTGCCGCGGTGCTGGGTGTCTATCAGCAAGATAAATGAAAATTTCACGACAAAGACCAACTAAATCAGCACTGATGAAAGCATTTGACTCCAGAGCCAAAGCTTGTATTATAGCAGGGAACAAATCTTTACAAACAAAATCCCGAAGCTCCACATTAGCTGTAGAAATGGCCAAGAGGATTACAGCTCCACAGAATGAAGAAACTTTAGTTACAGCTTCACCATCTTTCCATCTCAGAGCCTCTAAACTGATCTGCAAGGCTGGAAGTGCTATACTTTTATGCATCAACACAAATCTGCACGTAAATCACAAGGTCAAGATTGAGAAGAACAAAAGAATGTAGACTAGAGGTCCACTCGTCCACAAACTAAGCAAACTTAAAATTGACAACTTCCACATACCCAACCATGGAGTTAGTGGCAAATGCATCCAAGTCTTTAAGTGATGACTCATCCACTCGGCTCATATGGCCAGAATGCTCCAATGAAGGAAGTCCAGCATTGAGTACGGATGAAGCAAAAACTGAAAGGATTGAGCACGTCTCACGAGTTAGATCTCGAAGAAGCTTTTCCTCCATTACTTCCACTTTCAAGTCTGAGCCATCAACTAGGCCATGAAGATCAGGAACCTTTGCTCTACCTTCCTGTAAGAGACTAGACCATGAATAGCTAAGAGCTTGCTGAGAGTGGACAAGTAATGGGTGCAGGAGCTTTTCTAGCCATGCCTCCCACATATTGGAAGGGCAATTTTTAATCAAGGGGATCAAGGCTAAATGAAGAAGCAGCCTTAAGTGCCTGAATTCCATATGTTGTATGTTCTCCATCAAAGCTAAAACAACAGACTGAGAGTCTAAGCATTTGAACAAAGAATCCCCAATGGTTGCTGATAAGCCCAGTACATTGTACCTAAAGCCAAGAAAACTGCATTAACAAAACCAGAGCACTAAATAGAAACATGAAACTCTTTCCCAAGAGCATGGAGTAAAGGCGTATATCACACATAGAAAGAGAGATAGGCAGATCGCAGATCAATAATTTTTAATAGCACGCTAGAGTTTGCAGAGCATTATGACAGATCTTATAGGCACTTTACAGATAATCAAGTGGGAACTTAAATAGAGAAAGGAGAATCCTGGAAAACAAGACACTTCAATATATATATTCTAATTAGTACAGGTACTAGTGCAATTCAAGACGTCAACTTTAATCTACTAGCAAAAGATAGCACCAAACAATGTAAAATGATTAGAGATTGGCTTAAAATAGTCCATAGATAAGAATGCAGTGGCTTAACAGGAAACCTAAAAAGTAGTTCACAAAACTTGCAAGGTAATCTTTTGTCTTTTTTTGTTTAATGTTCCTTCTCTTCTTTTTTTTTCCTGCTGTTATGGAGAGAGACTGGAGCTCAATCTATATCCTGTTTCTCCCTCTCTCGTCATAATAAGACAGGAAAGGAGCTGCAGGCAGGAAGAACAAAGTAAGGTTACTTCCAGTATGCTTGTTCACAAAGATTTAAATGAGAATGGCCATATCAACTAAGATAGAACTTCATGACAGCTTTGAAAAGATGTTATTTTCATTGTCTATTGTAGAGATTCAGAAGAGCACCAACATACCCACTATCTCTGATACCTTTCAGCCAGTTGCGGATATCAGCTTCATTTGGCTCCGCATAGCCTTCTCTATTCATATCTAAAGGAGATCCATCAGTAAAACTTAGAGCGCCTTTAGGCAATTTAACATTACCTCCCCCGAAAAGACTGGCCCTTTCAACATCACTCATAGCCATTGCAGCTTTTATCTCTCCTGGCAATGCTTGATTAACAGGTGGAGACCAAAGCGAATGTATGGCACGGAGTAGCTGACAATCAAAGACATTTACATCTTTTAACAAATCTTTACTAAGGAAATGGGTGAGCATCAACCAAAACAGTTCCTAAGAACTTGCTTACTTTAAGAAGAGGAGGAAGCATCCACGAGAGGTGAGATGCCATTGGGTGCAAAAAGTCAGATGCTGGCATGGTTTGTACACTAGCATTGCCTTTCCTTAGACCACTCCGTTTAAGAGCCTTCTCAAAGAATGTCACTGCGTGGAAAATGGACCACATAAATGGTGTATCAGCACACAGTCGAATCAAACCTGTAGGATCAGAAAGATATGCATTTTGCCACTCAAGCTGTATCCACTGTTTGCTCAATGGTTCAAGTAACCAGGCCAAAACTTCTAGCTGCTGCTGAGCCCTGCACCATTTTTGAGAACTCATAAAGGTCAAAGCCCATGATATACTAGACATACATTTGAAACTCATTAAGACCAGTAGCTACCCAGCAGCAGATGCCATAATAAGGAATGCTTCACCCAAGAGATTGTGCTCCCCACGAAGTAGACGACCTTCCTTTTGTAAAAATGCCATAGTGTCAGCAATTCCCTGAAAAACAACAGAGAAAATGCAGTCACATCCCAAGGCAACCAAACAAACTCATGTCCAAAAGTAAAAACCAACATCTCTCACAGTCAACAATGACTAATACAATCATAAAGTAGTCTTGTGTTGGTAAAATCTTAGGTGTCAAGTAGAAAATATTCCACCCAGTGAGCAACTATTTTCATATACTGCCTTTAAAGAAATAACATCAGAAGAGACACAATTTGTACTTGTTTCTGTACCATCTTGGTACCATATATATAAAACACTTTACCTATGAAAAAAAAAGAGAGAGACACAATTTCGATGATAAATGGAGCATATGCTTCAACTATCTTGAATATCTCAGACCTGGATCTGGAATATGTTAATGATACGAAATAGCTTCTCAAAAGTCAAAGGACATAACTACAAAGAACCAGGAATAGAAATTCACGTGCCATTCTGTACTTCCTAGAACCTGTTCCATTATGAAAGATGAAGATTGTATCCCAAAAACAGCCGGATCAATTAGAAAAATAACTAGATAACACATTCAAGGCTCTCTTTTCAATTAAAATTGGTTTCCACTATGTTGCCAGAAAACAAAATGTACACTCCTTTTTGTCACCGAGTCTATAATATTCCATATAGAAAGGCCAGATCAAGATGTGATTTGCATTCAAGTGACATTCTGCAAGGGGCATCTTTGAGAAAACTGAGATACCCTAGTCCTTTTGTCAAAAGTATGTAGCTACTCTACATATTTCCACCCTGATCATAAAATCAGTGCACAAGTTCAAAACTATTTCAAGTCAAACAGGGGCGTATCTAGGTCAAGGCATACGGGTTCACGTGAACCCATACTTCTTTCCCTAAACCATGTATAACAATGTTTTATTTCTTCAAAATTACCTAAATATATGTACGTGCACCCATGCTCAAAGACTCCTATGGTGCAATAATTACTAGGTGCACCTCTACAAGTAAAATTGGCGGTTCAAATCCCACTTTGGACGGTCTTATTTTCGGCATAGAGTATAGATATATAAGTCAAAATCACTAAATTTTCAAAAAGAAAATAATTTTGAACCTATAATTTCAAAAGTGTAGTGGATTCATGGTAAGAGACTATAGTTAAACCCGTCATATAAATTCTAGATCCACCTCTTCATAATAGTGCACCCATCCTCTTAAAATCCTGGATACGCCTCTAAAGTCAAAGGCACAATTTACACG